CTTCCCCCTCCCCCCCCCCAGGGCCGTGCGAGGCGAGTGCAAGCGCCAGGATTTGTGCCACATCTCAATTCATCTCAACGACCATCTCGACGACGTCTTCACCACTATTCCCATCCACCCCTGAATGACCCCCTCATCAGAAACCTCCCGTCACCTTCCCAACCCCTTGCGCCCAACACCTCCGACAGGCTTTCAAGCCCTCTGTCTCCCCCCCGAGTCCGCCCACGACGCCCCCACAAGGCATCCCCGTCACCCTCCCAACCCCTGCACCGCACACCTCCTACAGACTTCCAGTCCCTCTCATTCCCACAGACGCCAACCATCATCATCGTCATCATCAACACTACCACCACCACTATCATCATCATCATCATCATCATCATCATCATCATCATCATCATCATCATCATCATCATCATCATCGTCATCGTCATCGTCATCGTCATCATCATCATCGTCGTCATCATCATAGTCCCACGCCCCTCCACATCGCAATCGTCACCACTATCACCATCCGATCCTGCAGGCTGAAGCTTAGTTCGATGAAGCCCGCCCCATGCCACCGGAACGCACCAAGGGGCACGCCGCGCGCTCGCGCACCGTGCCGAGATATTCAGGCGAAGCGCAGCGAGCTTCAAGTCTTGTGGATTTGCATACATGCGTGTATGGTTTTATATGCATGTATCTATATATCTATATGTATATGTGTGTATGGTTTTATATACATGTGTGTATGGTTTTATATGCATGTGTGTATGTGTGTATGGTTTTATATACATACATATATCTATATATCTATATATATATATAGATAGAGAGATGTGTGTGCGTCCCCAGCGTTGTTTCAATCGATGTCGGCCCTCAGGGGCCGTTCTCGCGCCCTGGGACTGCCAGAAATGGGTCCAGGGGGGGAATCCAGCAGGCCCAGGACTCAACCAGCCCAGAGCGTTTTGGCATTATGTCGGGGCGTTCCAGCACACTCTGAGAAGGTTTGATCAAATGTTGAGCTTTTGTCCTGGCTCCGTCTCAGAGAAACTGCCCCAGGGGAGGCGGTCGGGACCCGAGGGGAAGCGGTCCTTCCTCCTCCTCCTCCTCCTCCTCCTCCTCCTCCTCCTCATCCTCCTCCTCCTCCTCCTCCTCCTCCTCCTCCTCCTCCTCGGGTCCGCGGCCGCGGATCGAAGAAGACACATCGGCGGATGCGGGGGCTCCGAGGACCAGCTGCGCGATATCGCAGAGAGGGCCTCGGAGGCCAGCCGGCTCGGGCGCGCGCGCTCGCCGTGGGCCCGGGGGCTGTTGGGACGTTGCGGTGATTGCTGCGCGCAGATGTCTGACGTGGCCGCAACCTTGGGTCACAGGGGTGACTGACTGACTGACAAGCCATACACCAAGCGGTGCATGGGCAGGAGCTCGGGCATGAAGGAGAGCTTAGGCCTAGCCTACACGCAGGGCCACTGCCGTCGGGTCCCAGTGGCATAAGTGAACCAGACGCGAAGGTGGCCACAGGGGTGGGAGGAGGAAAAGATACCGATACCGCTGTGAAAGACGATCGCTGGAGAGGAGGTGTGTTGCCCAATGATTCGTAGGAGTAGAACAAGTTTTGAGCGTGTACAGGAACATGTTTGAAACATCTTGAACACAGATTGAACATCAAAAAACAAGTCGTAAAGTCCATGATCGGACGGTTAGAGTGTCAAGCGCCGTGACATCTGCAACGATACCGCTGCTCGTCCTGGGGAGCCCTTGTCGCCACGGCCGGGCTCTCCTCGAGATTCTGGCCACAGCGCACCCCGGGAAGTCCGCGGAGCAGCGGCATTGGTACTCCGAGTCTCTTGATAAGCGTCGGGGGGGCGTCACCCCCGCCGACAGCCTCACATCGACCCCCGTCGCGGGGAGCCATCGCGCGCCGAAGGCGTTCCGCGACGACGAGGCGAGGTTGACCCCCGTCGGGGGGGTACCCCCCAACGCTTATTGAGAAACCCAGAGTACGTGTTTGTCTCCAAGCGGTGCGGCGGCCACGCCGTGCGCCGAACAAGCAAAAGTTACATAAGCATAGAGTGGGGGCCCATGCCAAGAAACACCCTGCTCGCCTCCAGGGTGCTCTGGGTTTCTTGGGTTTCCATGGTTTTACGATGGAAAGCGCGACGTTCCCACGCCAAAAATCTATGGACGTCCTGGGGTCACAGTGTTGGGTTTCTTGTGGAAGGTTTCTTGTGGTCGGGCCTCCACTGTAAACATCAATTGTCGGAGCTCCTTGCGGAGTTCCTCATTCTGAGCCGGGGTCCCCTGGAGGCGCCACCTTTGGCGCGCTCCGCGCGTCAGGGGGGCGGTCCAGCGGCGACCCGAGAAATCCGCGCGGACTTTCAAACATTTATGTTTATGATGTCTATTCTTCTAGCGTGGTGAGTCAGTGGGGATTTGAGATGATCGCATGGTTTTGGGACTCGGGTCGTTCTGCGAGGATGTCTTGGGCGACTGGGGCCTCCAGGGTCCCAAACGGTGCGGAGAGGGACTTTGCGGTGAGGCGTTTGGAGATTTCGAGGTCACTGCACTGTCTGACACCGCACCGCTTTGGGACGCCCAAAGATCCACTGCTCCTGGGAGGCACGAGCACATCGCGCCCAATTTCCGATGTGAATTATTGTTGGTCGCATTCGTTCACAGGTCGTTGGGCCCGCAGGGTTGGGGGCGTCATCGGAGGGAATTGGCACTGAAATCTCTGATCAGACAGTGTTACGTACTTGTATTGTTCCCCCTCTTCCTCGCTCCTCCTCCTCCTCCTCCTCCTCCTCCTCCTCCTCCTCCTCCTCCCCCTCCTCCTCATCCTCCTCCTCCTCCTCCTCATCCTCCTCCTCCCTCCCCCATGTTGGGGCCATGCTGTGCCCCATGTGGCCATTGGGGGGGGGGGTCACGCTGGGGGGGCCTCTGAAAGCCACATCCGAGGCCGAAAGTATGCAGAACCACGCACAGCTACGCCGCGAGCTTCTGAACTTGAGCTTCTCCCTTTGACTCCTTTTTCGACGGCGAGCGAGGAAGGAGCATCTTCTCAGAAGGCGGCGGGACTTCTCAGAAGCCCTCGCGCCTTCTGAGAAGTGTTCTGTGTCTTCGGGAACAGCTCTGACAACTTCTCTCAGAAGGCAGCGGGACTTCCGAGCCCTCTGAGAGGGCCCGCCCATTCTCACTTCCCCTTCGGGCGCGCCGTCGATTTGTCGATTGACTGCGTGCCACGACATACTACAGTGGAGACCCATGCCAAGAAACACCCTGCTTGCCTCTCCAGGGTGCCCTGGGTTTCTTAGGTTTTGATGGTTTTGCCATGGAAGGCTAGGGTCTCAGGGTTGGGTTTCTTGTGGAAGGTTTCTTGTGGTCGGGCCCATACTGTATCGAGTTTTCGGGCTGAAGGGTTCACGCCAGGACGGCGGTCTGCGGAGGGACAGATGGGTTGCGGCCAGGTCGGGACGGAAAACTACCCTGGCAATGTACCCAACCCTTGCGCAATGCGGGGCACGAGTAGCCTGGGACACGTCATACAGAGGTGATGACGTGACAGGAGCGCATATCATTCTGCGAGCGGCATTCGCGAGGCTCGCAGCCCCCCAGGGATGGCGAGGTCCGGCTCAGATCTGCGCGGTGCCTCACTCCGCTGGACCCGCCAGCAGCCTTCAAAAGTGGCGACAGCTTCGCAGATCGCAGCCCCGCAGGGACGGCGAGGTCTACCTCAGATCTGCGCCGTGCTTCACTCCGCTGGACCCACCAGCAGCCCTCGAAAGTGGCGACGGTTTCGCAGATCGCAGCCCCCAAAGGACGGCGAGGTCCCGCTCAGATCTGCGCCGGGCTTCACTCCGCTGGACCCACCAGCAGCCCGCGAAAGTGGCGACGGTTTCGCAGATCGCAGCCCCGCAGGGACGGCGAGGTCCACCTCAGATCTGCGCGGTGCCTCACTCCTGCTGGACCCACCAGCAGCCCTCGAAAGCGGCGACAGTTTCGCAGATCGCAGCCCCCCAGGGACGGCGAGGTCTACCGCAGATCTGCGCGGTGTCTCACTCCGCTGGACCCACCAGCAGCCCTCGAAAGTGGCGACGGTTTCGCAGATCGCAGCCCCGCAGGGACGGCGAGGTCTACCTCAGATGTGCGCGGCGCCTCACTCCGCTGGACCAACCAGCAACCCTCGAAAGTGGCGACAGTTTCGCAGATCGCAGCCCCCCAGGGACGGCGAGATCTACCTCAGATCTGTGCGGTGCCTCACTCTGCTGGACCCACCAGCAGCCCTCGAAAGTGGCGACGGTTTCGCAGATCGCAGCCCCCCAGGGACGGCGAGGTCTACTTCAGATGTGCGTGGTGCCTCACTCCGCTGGACCCACCAGCAGCCCTCGAAAGTGGCGACGCTTCGCAGATCGCAGCCCCCCAGGGACGGCGAGGTCTACCTCAGATCTGCGCGGTGCCTCACTCTGCTGGACCCACCAGCAACCCTCGAAAGCGGCGACAGTTTCGCAGATCGCAGCCCCTCAGCGACGGCGGAGAGAGGGCAGGAGGCGGGAGGAGGCGGTCGGAGGAGAAGACGCGACCGCGGTGCTCTATTCAAAACGAATACCCAACCAAGAAGGGTTGGGAACAAATATCACAGGTACAAACAAGCGTCGAGCCCCATGAAAATGTCTGAAAACTATGGAAGTGGAGGGGAAGACGAAAATCCAGAAAATATGGGAGAAGGGCTGGACACCCTTGGACCTGTGTCTACTCATGCGGGGTTTCCTGAGTGCCTCTATAAGGGAAGGCGATCCACAGAGGTGTGTACAAGGCCCGAACGGCCAGGGACCAGCATATGTGTGCACCGCTGCTGTCCTGAGCTTCGTCATGAGGAGAGCCCCGATCTGCATGCCATGGTCACTTTTGCATACGAAAAGTGGGGCCAAGAGTACGTCGATGCGTTGGGCCTGGACTGAGATAGCGACCTGGGCTCTTCCACAATCACCCCGAACTTGTTCCCCCACCTCTCTTTACAAGGTCTGGCAGGTGCAGGGGGAGTCGCTGGAGCCACTCAAGCAGTGGGTGTTGGACCCAGTGACGGCAGAGTTCACTGGCGACGGTCCAGCAGGGAGATGAAAACAGCAAACATACTATCATCAAGTACCTTCCCTCCCAGCAGTAGGTGGCGCTGGTTTCAACAGCGACTCACGAGTCAGTAGACAGGGACAATGAGGCAGCAGCAGCTCCGAGCTTGACCAGCAGATCTTGGATATACCTTCCATTCAGCTTCGAATAGATGGCATATGATTGCAAAGAAATTTGGTGTGTCGCGCCTGGCGGTTGATTGCCGCTTACGCATGCCACGGCAGGGCATGTCAAGCGTTGGCAGCTGCGGAAATGCAACAACAGTCCGCGACAGCGCGGATTGAGGTCCCTTTTGTGTTGCCACTTCCTGGCACCGATACATACCAAGCCGCTCTTAGCGCCCGCTAGAACGTCTATCACCCCTCTGGGCAGCCAGTCCCCCACGGGTTTGGCAGCAGCTGTCTCATCATAATCCCTTGTTCCCTTGCCTCTTCCCTCCCCCTGCCCTTCTCCATCCTACCAGGACACAGGGTCCATTTCGATCCGATAGGTCCGATTATATATTGGCTCTGGCCAGCTCGATCCCATTCGATTCCGACGTTCCGATGCGGCCCGATGTTGACTCGTAGTTGTTGTGCGTAGTGGCGCAGCTGGTCCGATTCAATTTCGATTCCGCGTCGATGCAGCCCGATCCGACTGACATTATGGTTCGATCTGATGTTCCGATTCGATGTTGGTTGATCTTGGGACATAGTATTTTCCACCGACCCGATTAGGTGCGGCACTTGGGCAGAGCTGAGCACGAAGAGGCATCACAATGGCAGATAAGGCGTGCAGCGTCTACGCCTCCAACCTCCTTCGGCAATTCCTGATTGCTTCTACAGGAGCGGGCACATACTTGTTCCTCCAGCGGCGAGATGACAACACCGTCGCGAATCGCTAAGCCGGGACACGGTTGGTCGAATTTCCATTTGGCGTATCAGGTGGGTGGATTGGATGGGGGCCGTCGTTTGCAGAAAAACGCGAGAATGTGCGCACGTGGAAGATGCAGTCGCGACCATGCAAATGCAGGAGTAGACGTTCTCTCACACATATCTATACATATAATATTGCCCAAGCAGTGTTTGCACGTCGGGGTCCTCACTTCTGTTTTAAGGAACCGGGCCGTGTCTTCGGTCTGGCGGCTATGTGGCCGCCGTCGCCGCCCTTCCCGTCGCCGCCCAAATTGCACAACAGGGATTGCACAACATATATTCTTCTTTCTACAAGAGTATTACGATCTATGCGCCCCCTTCCACCCTTAGCGGGTCACTTTGTCGTAGTGCAATTTGCATGTGATTCTGCCCTATCGCCCATCCCAAATATGAATCCATACCGTCCCAGGCAGGCCAGTAAGGGTTCCCCCGGTCATCTTCTGCCAAACATATAATGCACGTACATTCGTGTATCAAACATTTTCCGTTTGGTTTAAAGAATCCTTTTGCAAAAGCTGGGACGGAGTGCGCACGCGCGCATCGTCGCGCGCGTATGCCATGTCTCCCCCAAATGAACAAAGAAGTGTATCTCGAAAACAGATTGATGATACAAAATAAGGATGGTACTGCAACGTTAGTTCTTAACAAACGTTGCCGCGTGCCCTTGTAAATGTATAAGGAGACCACAAGTTGCTCAACCTGTTCATTACATTATACCACACGGGCCTCTTCGCGCCGCGTGTCGAACTCCTCCGAACGCCCTTGCGCGCGCGTTGGGGGGTACAATCCGTGTCAAGTAAGGCCACGCGGGCCACTCGCGCGCGTCGGCCGCACGCGCATGTAGAACTCGGTCCAAAACTTTTATAACCGGCGATCGTGGTCAACATCGGCGCCGTCATTGGCCTTGTTGTCGTCATCGCCACCATCGTCACCATCATCGCTACTCGCATCATCGTGTCTACCGTTGTCGGCGTCGCCATGATACCGCGCCCGCCCAAGCCACCGATTCGCACTGAAGTGCCCGCTGGAAGTGCCCACCAGTCAACGCCACCGCGGCCGCGGCGGTCTGCCGCACTAGGTGGCCGCTGCGCGCGCGAGCATGCGAAGGCTAGCGCGGCCGCAGAGATGCAGCAGCCAACGCCAAACACTCATCGCAGTCGCCGTCGCATGGGTTTTGCAAAACAAATTGCGGGTGGGTCGGTGGGATGATTGCGCGAGCAATGGAATTTACAGTTCACTGCAAGCGCTGGTGAACTCCCTTGTTTAAAAGAGCATTAGGATCTACACCCCTGATCTAACCGCCTTCCTCTTCGCATTGGAGTGTACATTCGATGTTGCCCCATCGTCCATCTGAAATACGCGCTCCCTTCATCCCAGCCAAATCGGTACCGGTTCCCCTCTCATCTTCAGCAAATATTACGCGCGCGTGTTCGGTTATCAACAGTCACAAGTTTGCCGCAGCATCTGCTATACATGTGTATATATACACACACATATGAATATACATGTTTGGAAAATAGGAATGGAAATTCATTGTTAATAACAGCGACAGTAACGATAAGTATAATATGTGTACAACAATAAATTATAAAGTCTTGAATGTCGTAGCGATTTCGAAATCGAATGCCCTGAAACCTTTTTATATGCCGAATGAGGGCTTCTCAGCCATAGCATACGTATCTTGTTACCAAACGGACCTTTACCGCGCGGCATGTCGGATTTGTTCGAACGCCCTTGCGCGCGTGTTGTCGCAAGAATCCCTTCCAAAAGTTGGACGAAGTGCACGCGCGCGTCGGAGGAACGGCAAAAGGAGGGTGGGGGGCCAGGAGAGGGGCAGGAGCTTCACGAGGACAGCGGGCAAAATGGGCCGCTGAATGTTGGCTGCCCCGTCCGCGCGGTTGGCTGACAAAGGGCACCAGCAGCATCCGACTTTTGATGTCCCGACCTACATTCACCTTCACCATTAAGAGAATTCCGGGCACCTGGAGAGTATTCAAACTAGAACGAGTTCACGCGTCGGGCAGTCACTGCTTTGACACGTTTCTGGGTGCTCGACATGGTTTTTTGGATGTGATATTTCAGCACGATGGGAACAACAAAACGTTCGAGGATTACTCCGGGTTTCTTGATAAGCGTCGGGGGGGCTTCACCCCCGCCGACAGCCCCACATCGACCCCCGTCGGGGGGGTACCCCCGTGGGGGGTCGGGGGGCTACCCCCCCACGCTTATTGAGAAACTCAAACTGCCCTTGTGCGGTCAGCAGCGCGGTCCACGCACCCCTGCTCCCTTCTCCCCGCTGCCGGGCCCCGTAGAGGTCAGCTCGGATCCGTTTCGTCGTACGATACGCGTCTCTCGAATGGAATGCTGCGCCTCTCCGACGGCTTCCTGCAGACCTACGACATCATCTGCGACAAGGTGGAAGCGTGGCTGCAATACGAGGAGCCACCAGGATACCACTGTGAGAATATGGGAACTGACAGAAACATAAAAACTCTGAGGTCCGCGCGGAGTTCTTGGATCGGCGTTGGACCCCCCTGGCGGCGCCTCTGGCGCCGCCCCTGGCGCGCTCCGCGCGCCGAGGAGTGGCGTCCAGCGCGGATTCGAGAAATCCGCGCGGACCTCCGAGTTGTTGCATGTTTATGTCATAGTCGCTCCCCTAGAGAAGCACTCGAATTCCCCCTGGTGTGTAGTTTGTTGTGCGGTTGGGTGCCTAGCATTGGCCATGCGGCCGTGCCCATGTTCGCTGAAATTGGGACCCCCTCTCGCAGGCAAGTGTGACGTACATGCCGAGGTCGTGACAGCCGCGAGCGACCGTATGTATGTTGGTGTTCTAGTTGGACACGTTGATGGGGTCCGGAATTTTCGAAGTGTTGTGTGGTGGAGTGGAAGCAAGTACCTCACGCGACCGCGGCAATTGGCGTCCTAGCAGGAGTCCTTTGCGGGACTGGCGCCGTAAATGGAGCCACGTGCACGGCACGAGCTTCGGGAGAAGTGTGCCGAAACGAAGGCCGTCACCGCATCCGATTGTGCCGAGTGGCGCCGCAATTGCAGCAATTATTAGGCACTCAACTCGTGAGGGGTGTGCCGACGTGAGCATTTGCATTGCCTGCGACCGAGCCCATCGGCGCTAGTTGAGGCGCACTGGGGTCACGAAGAAAGTGCGTGAGTGTGTGTGTGTGAGATAGAGAACGGTATACTGACAGCAGGGCTGGTACCGTATGCGACCGTGGTTCAGTTGCGCCATAACCCAGGAAGGCTTGCGGGGCTGGCGCCGTAAACGAGAGTAGTGGGAGGTGTGCCGAAATGGAGGACGTAGCCGCATCCGATTGTGTCCACTGGCGCCGTAATTGCAACCACCATGGAGCACTTCGTGCGTGAATAGTGTGCCGAAGTTAACAGTGGTACAGCATGCGATTGTGCCCACTGGGGCTGTAGTTGGAGCCCGCTATGAGTAGAACATGTGCGAAGGGTGTGCCGAAAGCAGCGCCGATGCGCATCGCATGCCACCGTGCCCATTGGAACCACAATTTTGGCTCCTCATGGGGCACGAAATGTGCGAGGGATGTGCCGAACTGAGGTTTGGAACTGCTTGCGACCCTGATCATTTGCGCCGTGGTTGGGGCCTCCTTCGTGGCACGAAATGTGCGATACCTAAACCGAAGTGAGGACCGATACCGCATGCGATTACACCACAAACCCGCCCAGCGGCGCCTCCGTTGGAGCCCCTCGAGTGGCACGGCGTGCGCGAGGGCGTGCCGAGTTGTTGTAAGCCGCGTTGCATCCGACCGCGCCCATTGGCTCTGCAAACGGACCCCCCCCTTTGGGCCACGAAGTTTGTGACAAGTGTGCCGGAGTAGGGACTGGTTGGTACCGCGTGCGACCGTGCTCGTTGGGGCCGCATTTCGGGCCCCCCCCCCACGGGGCACTAGATGCGCGATGGGCGCGCCAGAGTCACGACCAGCACCACGTGCGTCGGTGGCCATTGGCGTCATATTTAGGCGGGGACCACTTTATGGACCAAGACGTGTGTTGAGGGCTGTGACGAATTGAGAACCAGAATTGCATGCGAGTGTTTCCACCGCCGCTGTGGTGAGATTCAGCTTGGAGCACGAAGCGCCTGCGCATGCGAGAGAGCCAGAGAGAAAGAGAGGGAGAATGCTGGCAAGGAACGCGCGCGCGCATCTCGACCCCCCCCAACCCTTCAACCTTCAAAAGGATCGTGGAGGGTGGGATGTTCCTGTGCGCGCTCGCGGCGTTCGTGCCCCAGCCCCCCCACGCATGCCTCGGCTGCGCCCGAGAGTCAGCCCCCGCTTCGCTTCCGCCCCCCACGCCGCCACCCCAGGAGGTGGAAGCGCACTTGCGTTGCATCCCAGGTTAAATTACACTGCGCGATTAAGGGTGGCGGGGTCTCGCTCCGCGACAAGGGCATTGCAATGGGCATTGCAAGCGGCGCGACTGGCAATATGCCGCGCGCGGGGGCCGCTCCGCGCATCGGTCGCTACGCGACCTCCGCAACAGAGAAAATGTAAGCTTCTAGTTCCGCGATTATTGGTGGCGGGGCCTCGTTTCACGAGTAGGACATTGCGCACCGTTGTGCGATTGGTTATACGTTGCGCGCGGCGGCCGCGCGCCGCGCATCGGCCGCTTCGCGACCTCGGCAAGGGAAGGACGCGGGTTTGCCTAAGAAGCAATGCACGGGTTTCTCGGGCCCCCCCAGGCCGCGCCAGGATACTTTGAGCGTTCGATCATCAGGCTCCTTCGTGGGTTATCATGATTATGTGGCTGCGTCGCAGCTGCGCCGCATCCGCCAGCATCCCGCTGCGCGACCACCGCGCGGGGTGGTGGGAGGGGCCCGCGCGCAACGATGGCGGGTTTTTCGGGCCCCCCCAGGCCGCAACAGGGTTCAGGGAGCCCGCGAACCACCGGGCTTCCTCATGGAACCCATTATTCCTCAAGGTTCCACGTGATCTCTCTGGTGGCGTCGCATTTGCGCGGCGTCTTTGGGCGCCCCAACCGCAAGACGGCCACGGCCCGTCAAGACGGGCCAGACGGGCCCGCGAATTGCCCGATACGACCCCCGCCAAGGCCCAAAGAGGCCAAACTCGTTTTTGACAGCTTCCAAGACGGTCCGAGATGCGCCCAAGGAGGCTCCAAGACGACCCAGGAGGCGCACAGGACGGCCCAAGAGGGCCCCAAGAGGAGTCCAAAGGAGAGAATTCCAATTAACATGTCGAGCTTTCCGCCACAAGTGGGCCCCCGCGGCCGCAGAAGCGACCCAAGAAACCCCTAAGGGTCCCAAAAGAGGCCCCAAGAGGCCCCCCACAGGGCCCACATGAGGCCACAAGAAGCTTCAAAACTCATTCCACGAGGCGCCCGAGAAGCATGCCAAGAGACCCCCGCAGTACACCCAAGAAGCCTCGGACCCAAATCTCGGGCACAGTACTTGTTGCGGCATGGGCCGAAGGCCATACAGACTTACAAAAGCAAGCGCTTGGTTCGGCGACGGACCCACCCTGACGCAGTCATGTGCAGCGCAGGGCGCGCGTCTCTCTTCCTGCACTGCGCGCCGCGGGGCAATGCGGAAAGATGGGCGTGGCGGAGCACGCGCGCACTGGTGCGCTGAATTATTTGCGGGGCACGATTGGCGCGAGGGGCCGCGCGAACACGCCCATTGAAGCCGCGGGCGGGCTTCCTCCCGGCACGACCCGCGCAAGGCACGCTCCGAAATGGGCGGGCCATGCGAAGTTGCCCGTTGGCGCCATAGGTGGAGCCCCTTTGAGGGCATGATTTGCATGACAGGTGCGCCGACATGGCCGGGAAATATCTGCATGAACCCTGTCTCTGGGCCTTTAGTTGGTGCTCTTTGTGGGCACGATCCCCGCGATTGGGCGCGCAGCACTGGCCGGGGGGGGGCGCAGTGAGAGCCTTGCCTTTGGGGCCAGAGGTGAAGATCCCCGTGGGCCACGACCCGCGTGAGATGCATGCCGCAGAAGGCGCGGAGGGCGGGGTGCGAACCTTGTCTCTGGGGCCGTCCGTGGAACATTCTGCGGGCCACGATCCAGGTGAGAGGCGTGCCGAAGTGAGCGGGGCGACGCCATGAGGTTCCCCCCTTGCGCCGCAAATGCAGTTACCTGCACGGCACGATCCGCGCGAGGGGCGTGCCATTGCGCGACCCATGTCTCCGGTGACTTGGGTGGCGCCCCCTGCGGGGCGCGATCCCTGCGAGGGGCGTGCCGACATGGGCGGGGGGGCGCTGAGTCAAGCCGATCTCTCCGGGCCCGCAGGAGGAGCTCCCCGAGGGGCACGCCCCGCATGGCCGTGCATGTCGTCCGATGCCGAACACTTTGAGCTACAGCTAGAGCCTGCTAGAACCTGGGTGCACGCGAAGCGCGCGTTGTTCTAGCATGTAAATGGTTATAGATAGTTGTATGTAACAGTATGAAATATTTACATATGCATATACATATATATATATATATGTATATATACGCACTATATATTAGTAGTAATCTCCTATATTGTTGTATGCATAGATACATATGCACCTGCATGCCCGTATACAAACCTGCATGGTCATACCGTGTCCCCGTGAGACGTGATTTGGCCGGCAGCAGAGGTCTCCCGGCCACGAGCCAGAGGGGCCCCCCCCCTCGCCGCGCCTCGGGGCGCCCGCTGCCCGAGGTGCGCGGGAGGGCCGTCTGCTGCGGCATCGCGCGGCACCGCCGCGCGCTGGGCGGGGCAGGAGCCCACGGCGGCTGCTCGACAGGTTGCCCACTGCCGGGGCTGCCGTTGCCGCGGGACGCGAGGGCGGCCCGGGCGGCCTCTGGAGCGAGGTGGGGGCCCGCCACGAGGAGGAATATGCATGGTCGCTGGTCGAGGAGGCGCCCGTCACGGACGAGCCCAAGCAGATCGCGTCACGGGAGGTGCATCGGAGCGTTGGCCTCGACGTGAGCGGCGGCGAGCAGTGTACCCTCCTCTGACTGGCGATGCGCGTGGCGCATGGGGCCAGAGCCGATCGTGGCGGGGCGCCTCCTGTTCAGCAGCGACACCTACTGGGACTGGCGGGCGACGCACGCTGGAGCGCCTGGCGCGATCGGGGGGCCGTTCCTCTTGCACATCTGCAAGGGTTTGCCCTGCGACGCCCAGCCTCCTCGCCGGCGCGATGAGTCGGCGCGCGCGACGGCGGCCACCTTCCTGGATCGGGAGAAGATCGAGGTGGCCTTCGACGGGGGTCTGGCGCTGAAGGCGGAGGCGGTCTGGCCCGAACGCCTTTTCAGCCCGCGGGCGCGCGGCGGCGGGCGGTCTCGCGCGCCCCGCCGCGCGAGTCGCCCGAAGGTTCGGGTGGCGCCGCCTGCGGGGCCTTTCGACGAGCTCAGGGGCCAGGACGCCCTGGCCGACGCTGGAAAGCCCCCGTCGGACCATCGCACGCGCCAGGAGACCCCGCGGCGCATGCTGGTGGAGGCGATGGAGCGACTCGCCGAGATGGCGGAGCCCGCGGGACGCGACGCGGAGATGCAGCTGCAGGCGGTCCTGCCGCGGGCGCCGAGCCGCCGAAGCGCAGCCTCGCAGGCGCCCTGTCCGAGATGGCGTCGGGGGCGGCGAAGGCGGCTGCGCCCGCGGGACCTTCGGAGGGCCCCCCGCCCGCGCGTGGCGCCGAGGGCGAGGCATGCAGCGGCAGCACGCAGGAGCTCGCGTCGGCGCTGTTCGCAGTCCCGAAGTCTTCTGTCCCGCAGGCGGCGGGCAGCACAGGGGGCTCGGCAGTCGGCAATCTGCCCCCATGCGCGGACGGCTCGGGGCTGCCGCGCAGGCTGGCGACGGGGCGGGCTCGCTGCAGGAAGCTGGCGACGGAGTTGCCAGGCAAGTTGTCGGAGCTCGCCCTGGGCGCGATGGGGTCGCACCTCGGCAACCTCGCAGGGGACATGTTGGTCGTTCCGACACCGCCGACCGCGCTGCGGCACTTGCTCACCGCGCGATTGCCGCAGGACCCAGCGCAGCGGACCAGCGCCACGCCCTACCTCGAAATGCAGATGCTCACACGCAGGCGGCTGTCGGCTCCAGGGCGAGACGCCGCAGGGCGCCGACCTGCCGACGCAGTGCCTTCGGGCGGCCCAGGTCGCGGACGGCGTCGGTCATTGGGGCGCGGCGGAGCGGCTCGAGCTGATCCCCGCACGCGGCCAACCGACGACGCTCAGGAACGGCGAGAGAGAGAGAGAGAGAGAGAGAGAGAGAGAGAGAGAGAGAGAGAGAGAGAGAGAGAGAGAGAGAGAGAGAGAGAGAGAGAGAGAGAAAAAAAAAAAAAAAAAAAAAAAAAAAAAAAAAATAGAAAGAGAGAGAGAGAGAGAGAGAGAGAGAGAGAGAGAGAGAGAGAGAGAGAGAGAGAGAGAGAGAGAGAGAGAGAGAGAGAGAGAGAGAGATGCTCTGCAGCATAGATCTGGACGAAGTGAGGCTGGAGGAGCTCTCGGCGGAGCTGCGGAAGCCTGGCTCGGGCCATGGCCAGGAGGAGGCGCGCATGCCGCTGGCGCTTCCCGCAGGCCTTGCGGGAGGGGAGCCCTCCGCCGCGGCGCGGGAGCCGCGCGGCCGCCCGCCCCCGCGGCCCGCGGCGCTGCGGGGCGCGGCGAAGGCGACGCGGCCGCTCGACCAGCGGGAAGTTCAACTGGAAGGTCGGGCGCCTGCGCCGCAGCTGAGCTGCAAGGAGGCGAGGGCCAAGCGGCCGAGGAGCACGGGCGAGCCGGCGAATGCCTCCAGCCAGCGCTTGCTGAGGGCCACGCGCGCCACGCGCCAGTGAAGGAGGTCGCCGCTGCCCTGGCCGCCCCGCGGGGGGGGGGGGGCGAGGCGCGGTGCCGCGCGACGCTGCTCGCTGGGCGGGCGCTTCGGAGGAGGTCGCGGCGCGGTCCTCAGCCTGTGGCAGCGGGCCGCTGCTGCTGTCGCGAGACTACCCCTGGTTGGAGGCGGAAGGAGCCAAGGGCCGCTTCGTAGCTGGAGCGCCTCCAACCGGGGAACAGCAGCGAGGGCTGGCGAGCACCTCGAGACGGCGGCCACGAGCGAGGCGCTGCCGCCGAGCGCCTGGAGCTGGAGGGCCCCCCTTGGTGTCCGCTGAGGGGCGACGGTTTCAGAGGTCGACTTCGCGGCCCAATTGGCGCAGCTCGCGGAGGACCACTGGCAGCCCGGGCACTTGCTGCAAGCAGTCTGCGGCGCGCGTGACCACGCTTGTCGGGAGTGGCGGGCGCGATCGCGACCTTCCGCCGCTGCCCCAGATCGACGCGTCGGCTGCTAGGGTCTGGTCAGACAGCAAGAAGAGCGGGCTTGCCCCGCGGAGTCGCCCTGTCGCGCGTCAGGCCATAGAGGAGGCTCGGCATATCCTGGCGGTGGTCGGCCTCGACTACCTGCACGGCGGCCGCTGCAGGGAGGCATGGAAGCTCCACCGACGCCTGTCACAGGGGCGGCAGCGGCCCCTCGCGTTCTTGCAGGAGGGTGCGACGAGCTTCGCGGGGGACCCGTTCGGGAAGATCGTGGTTCCTTTCGCGGGCGAGGTCTTAGCTGAAGCAGAGAACGACTACGCGGGCGCGACGCAGTAATCACGGAGCTCAAGCCAAGGCCGCCCAAGGCCGAGTGCGCAACGACGCTGGAGGCGCTGGACTTCGGGGGGCCCGATTTTGCGGATTGGCTTTCGATCCCGAGCGAAGCCCCCCTGCCCAAGGAGGGCGGGCCCGACCCCTTGCTGCGGACAAGGGTCAGCGTCGAGTCCGAGCCTGCGTGGCGCGAGCTGTGGTTGTCCATCTCGTCGATCTTAGGATATACACGGCGGTGCCCGAGGCCAGGTTCATTCGGGCGCAGGCGAGCTGCGCCTCAGCGGTCCGTTCGCCGTCGAGAAGAGAGGCGCGCCAAGCCCTGGGGTCACCCGCGCCACCCGGCTCATGTTAGCCATGGGGTCAGGCAGCGCCTTGCTGGAGCTACGCGCGGGCGAGGCGGCGGAGCTGGCCAGGTCGATGAGTTGGGTCTCGCTCCACCTCCGCGAGGGGGAGCTGCTGCTGGCGGTGGGCGGCGACCTGAAGGGGGCCTCTTTCTTCGTGTTGAGGGCTCCTGCGACCTGGCATCCCTGCAGGATGGTGGGCATGCCACTCCCCGGCGCCCTGTTCGTCCGCCTCAAGCGCCAGGTGTACCTCGTGCCGACGGTCATCGCGTTGGGCTGGATATTGGTCGCGCCCGTCTACCAGCATATCCACCGCAGGCTGCGGCGCCTGCGGCCACCGTCGGGGGCTAGCCTGCCGCCCAGGCCCGAGTGGCGGAAGGGCGAGGCCAGCCCTATCGTCGAGGCGGGCAGCGGGTGCGAGGCCTGGTAAGGGGCACGTCTACATCGACGATTTTGACACGCCAGAAACTGTCGCGGAGGCGCGCGCCCGCCAGCAGGTGAGGGCAGAGGCTGACCTCCCGCAATGTGCCCGCGCGGCTTGCCGCCGCGCTGGCGTGGCGCACTCGGCCGGGGAAGCGCACTTGCACCGGCTGCGGACTTGGCGCAGGGACGCGGACGTCGACAGCGAGAGCAAGCGGCTGGCGGCGCCGCGGCGGAGGGCCTCGGCAGCAGCGGGCCTCTGCCTCGCGACGCTGGGACTGGAGGCCGTGCCGAGTGGCGGTCCTCGGCGCGCTTGTGCAGGCCTTCGAGTTCAGGCGCCCGTTGTTTGGCTTGCTGAGCCCCGTCTGGGCGCTCACGGGGGCGCGCGCGGTTGCCCGCTACGACGCTCAGATGGTGGGGGAGCTGATATTCAACCTGGTGCTGCTGCCCGTGACTACCGCCCCTCTGCGCAGCCACGTGGACGGGATGACCGCCGTCTCCGGCGCCTCGGAGTTCGGTGGGGGAGTCTGCGCGTCGGCGAACTTGAGGCTTGAGGCCCACGTGGGCCCGGCGGTGTCCCGAACGGCCTCGGCGGCCCATGACGTGGCAGATCACCTGGGAGTCGGCGCTCGGCTGCTCGGCGCGCAGATGGACCCGCGGGTCGATTGGGGCGACGTTGTGCGCGTGGGCGAGCACTGCGCTGAGGACGCGCTCGCCGCCTTCGGCAGGTCGTCAGCATGCGCGTCGCGGGCGCTGGCGGCCCGCGCCAGAACCTCGCGCGCCTCGACGCGGGCGGGGGCGGGCCTCGAGAGCGCAGGAGCTCGCTGCTCCTCGAGGTCCCGTGGATCATCGACCTCCTACGGCTGGCTTTTGGAGCGAGGCTGCACACTCTGCTCGACACCGTCGCGGGCTTGTCGGAGGCCAACGTCCAGGCGATCGCCAGGCGGCCGAAGGTTGTCCCCCACCTGTTCTGCTCGCCCGCCTTCGTTCCGTGCCGCAGGCCGCGGCTCTACTGGCTCAGTGGACAGCTGCGCCTCACCGCGCGGCGCAGCGGTGCCGACGGGGGCCCCCGCCTGGAGGTCATCGCGGCAATGGGCTTGACGATCGACCTCGGCTGGGAGGACGCCGGCTGGCGCCAACGGAGAGCGGCCTGCCCCGTTCCCCGCGCTCGCGTGCTGCAGGTCCGCCGCCGAGCTCCCCGCCGTGCGCGAGCTCGCCCTGGCCTCGAGTAGGGCGAGAGACCGCTGGCAGGCCAACTCCTTCTGTTTTCACGTTGTGCTGTACGACGACAGATACCTTGGCTTTGCTGCCAGCGAGGAGCCTGGACGCCTTCCAGGCTGCGAGGAGAGGGAGGGACCGGTCGAGGAAGCTCGATGTCAAGCACACTGCCGCCGCCACGAAGGTCTCGAACTCAGAGGGCGCGGCGGACGCCAGGTGCCTCGTCCTCGGCAGCAGCTCGAGCGCGCATCCCGCGGCATGGGCTTCGCAGCACGAGCTCCAGGCGGAGGGGGCTCTTGCGCGGCCCGCGACGATCAGGGAGCTTGCGCACGGTGGGGAGCGTTGCGAGATTTGGAACCAGTGCGGGACATTCGAGGGCAACGCTGGTTGCCACGACACGGAAGAGTCGAGGCGCCTCGTCCTGCGCTGCTTCGGCCTTGGCGAATGGGGCGGCTTGGACACCGCATCGATCGGGGCCTGCCCTGCTGCTCAGGAGCAGGCCGCGGTCGAGCTTGGACCCCTTCGCGCGGCGGTGGGAAGCGGCCCCGAGCATGGCGTGGCCTCGCGAGGGGCGCGCGCGCGCATCAGCGCGCGCGAGCTGCTGGCGACGCTGTCGGCCCTGCGCTGAAGGCGCGCGAGGGCACGCGGCATGGCCCACGCTGGCCCCTCCCGTCGACGGCCTGGCTGTCGCGACCATCGTGCCGAAGGGCCGCTGTAGCAGCCGCTGCAGGCAGCCAGCTCCCAAGCCTGGCTGGCCATGATGATCGCTGCGGGCAGGTGCCCCCTCAGCGGCTGCGTCGTTTGGGGGGATTACCCTGGGGACGAGCCGTCGGTGAAGCCGCGGCGTGGGTCGCGACTCAGGAGGCGCGACGCGGGGTCAGCCGTCGCGCGCCCGCGCGGGCCACCGCTGCTGCATTGGGGCGGCGGAGCCCGCGTGCGCCGACGCTGGCTTCGCCGCGCGTCGTCGCTCCGACCCGCAGGAGGCATGCCACTGCAATCCGAGAACGCCTGAGGCGCTGGAGACGCCTGCAGAGCGTCGGCGTGCTCGGCGGCGCAGAGAGCATCCCGACGGCCTCGTTGCTAACAATCTCGAGGCGAAGTGGAGCGAGAAGGCCAGCATCGTGCTCACCGGCAACACACGGTGGCGGCCGCGGTCTTTGCGGTGCCCGTGCTGCGGCGGCAGCTGGACCTGTCGCGAGCGCCGCTGCAGGCGCAGCGCCGCGCGGCGGTCCGCAAGGCGAGCGCTGCCCTCCACGCCGAGATCGTCGGGGCCATGGCCAGCCTGAGAGCAGAGGCGACAGCGCTCGACGTCAGGCGCTTGCTTCCCATCAGCTGGGGGGGGGCCTGCCGCGCAGTGGCGAGCCTTCGCCCTGCGCAGGGAGGACGTGCTGGGTCGCGACGAAGTCATCGTCCTGCGGTTCCGCGCGTCCAAGGCGAGGGCAAACGAGGATAGCGCCGAGGCCGTCGTCATCCGCTCGCATATCGCAGAGAGAGAGAGAGAGAGAGAGAGAGAGAGAGAGAGAGCGAGAGAGGCTGCGGCTGGTGGTGTGGCATCGGTGAGCAGACGAGCCCCTGTTTCGGAGGTCGCCCGCACAGCTGAGGAGCGCGCTGGCGGCCTTGACGCGCGAGTGGTGCCTTCCAGGCCCTTTTCTCACAGCACTCGCGCCGCCGCGGAGGCGCGTCCGATTTCCCCCCTGCGGTCGCCGCTCATGGAGGCCAGGCTCGTCGCAGGCGGCGGGGCGTCGTCCATGGCTGCGCTGATCGACATAGAAGGCGCTGAGGCCAACCTGGTGGAGTGCGGCCCAGAGACCAAGCCGCGTCAGCCGCGCAGCCAGCCTGGCACTGCTGCGCGTCTCCTTTGGTTTTTCTAAATGTTGTATCTTCCAGCTTGCGTCTCTCAGTGCGTTGGTATCAGTTTGGAGAACAGCAAAGGCCAAACCTATGCAATTACAGCGGGGGGGGAGAGTCTGACAGCATTTTCACACGGCCGTTTAGGAGCCAAGGAGGGGGACTATGGTGTAGCAGGTTTCCCTTTTTCCGCTCGTGTGTGCCGAACGCGTTCCCTGCTGTCCCCCAGTGCCTGCGCTGCCCTCGAGGCTCTTGGCGAGGCGCGGCGTGGCTGTTGGGGTAACTGTGGCAGGGACGATTCGGTGGCACCTTGGTGGGGGGGGGGAACGAGCTAATAGACCATTGGCGTGGTCACGTGCGCGGAAGGACGGTATGCCCGTATACAAACGTGTCTGGTCATATGCTGTCCCCGTGAAACGTGAAACGCACGCCGTCTTCCGTTCCAGAGCCGGTCTGGCTCCCATCCACCTGCCACCCGCAAATCATTTTTGTAGAAGTTGGTGCAATGCTTGTTTGAGGTGCCGTAGCCCAATCAGGTGTGGCAGGTTCCCCCTTTTCTGCGCGTGTGTGCCGAACGCGTTCCCTTCTGCCCCCCAATTGTCTGCGCTGCCCTCGAGGCTTTTGGCGAGGCGCAGCGTGGCTGTGGGGTTACACTGTGGCAGGGACGATTCGGTGGCACCTTGGTGGGGGGGGGGAAACGAGCTAATAAACCATTGGCGTGGTCACGTGCGCGGAAGAGCGGTAAATACAGATATGTATGTATGTATGTATGTATGTATGTATGTATGTATGTATGTATGTACGTACGTACGTACGTATGTATGTATGTATGTATGTATGTATGTACGTACGTACGTACGTACGTACGTACGTATGTATGTATGTATGTATGTATGTATGTGAGAGAGCGTGATCCACCGCCGCTTTACTGTGGAAAATTGCCAACCTTTTCCTCCGGAGCCCGGGGGTCGCCCCCCCCCCTTCCGAAAATCTCCCCCCCTGCTGGACCCCCCCCCTCCCCCCAACCCCCCCCCCCGCCCCCCCAAACCCCCCCCTCCCCTAAACCCCTCCCCCCCCCCCCCCCCCTCCCGCTCGAAAACCGGGGGGGTCACTACGTTCGAACCCCCCCCCCCCCCCCCCCCCTCCCCCCCCTCGGATCCGGAAAACTGGGGGGGCCACTACCGGTTCGCACCCCCCCTTCCCCTTTCCCCCCCCCCCCTACTCACCGCCAGCAAACGACTCCCGGTCCCCACCACCGTCCGCATCACATCCCCCACTGGTGTTCCCAGCACCACTGTCCTCACCACCGCTGTCCCCACTGGTTCCACCACCGCCCCTACTGTCCCCACCAGTGGCCCCACCACTGTCGCACTGTCCCCGCTGTCCCCAGCACTGTTCCCACCACGGTTCCACTCTCCCCACTGTCTCCACGGCCCCAACCACTGCCCGACTATCCCCACTGTCCCCACTGTCCCACTGACTCCTCCGCTGTCCCACTGAGCTGTCCCACTGTTCCCACCACTGTCCCCACTGTCCCCACCACTGTCCCCACTGTACCTCTGTCCCATTGTCCCACCGCCGTCCTCGCCACCGCCTTCACCACTGTCCCCACCACCATTGTACCCTCCACTGTCCCACTGTTTCCACCTCATTCCCATTGTCCCCACACCACTGTCCCCACCACCACCGTCACCACCACTGTCCACTGTCCCCCCCTGTTCCCACCATTGTCCCCACCACTGTCCCCACCACTACCGTCCCCACCACTGTCCCACTGTCCCACTGTCCCCACCACTGTCCCGCTATCCCCTCACCACTGTCCCACCAACACCGTCCCCACCTCTGTCCGCACCCCCACTGGTTTTCGAGAGGGGGGGGGGGGTTTCGAACCGGTAGTGACCCCCCCCCCTTTTCATGATGAGCAGGGGGGGGGGGGGGAGGGGGAGGGGTTCGAACCGGTAGTGACCCCCCCCGGTTTTCCGGAGGGGGGGGGGGGGGGGGGGGAGGGGTTCGAACCGGTAGTGACCCCCCCCGGTTTTCCGCCAGCAGCGGTAGAACACGCTCTTTCATGTATGTATGTATGTAAATATGGAGGTATGGAGGTAGGTAGGTAGGTAGGTAGGTAGGTAGGTAGGTAGGTAGGTAGGTAGGTATACACATAGCTTCACATGTATCCAACCTGCAAATAGAACTACACATATAGAGACAGAGAAAGAACAAACAATGAGAGACAGAGAGGTAGAGAGAGCGAGATGTGCCAAGATGGCCGCGGTACCGCATGTGGCCGTGTTCGTGCTGAAATGTCAGCTGAATGGGCGCCGTTCTCGTGGGGCACGAAGTGCAGGGGCACCGGGCGGAGACGCAGAACGAGGAGGAAGAGGAGGGGGAGGGAAGGAAGAGGAGGGGGAGGGAAGGAAGAGGGGGAGAGGAGGGGGAGGAGCAGGGGGAGAGGAGGGGAGAGGAGGAAGAGGAGGGGGACGAGGAGGGGAGAGGAGGGAGAGGAGAAGGACGAGGAGGAAGAGGAGGAGGTGAAGAGGAGGAAGAGGAGGGGGAGTGGAGGAAGAGGCGGAGGAAGGAGGACGAGGAGGGGGAGCAGAGCAGAAGAAGGACACGGATGCGCAGTCAAGGACAGAATTCCGCAAGAGACTTCGGAACGAATGTTGAGCGACTGCGAAGGCGCGAATTTTGGTTCGGCGGCGAGCCCAGGGGGGAAGTGAGAAGGGGCGGGCCTTCTCGGAAGGCCCGGAAGTCCCCCAGTTTTCCGAGGAAATTTCTGAGTTCCTCCCGACGACGCACAATCAAATTCTTGGAAGGCCGGAGGGCTTCTGAGAAGTCCCGCCGCCCTTTGAGAAGGTTTCCTCCTTCTCATTTCTCCCCCCTCGCTCGCCGCCGATCCATGGTTTCCCTAATACGGTATCCAATCCGTCACACGTGGCATCCTATCTTTGGGCGAACAAAAAGTCACGATGCGAATCGTTACAGCCCAAGAAAGTATCAAGCAGATTGTGTCCAATTGTGTGTCAAAGTGAAGTCCTGCAAAGATGAGCACGAGTGTGGGTATACCTGCCCACAGGAACGAGGTGCATCGACAAGACCGTTAGAAACAGATGGTTCGAGTATATATGTTTGATTGTAATTGCTGGCCATGCCGTCTTCATGCTCTTCGCTGCGGATTACGAGGTCCAGCATAGGCACATCGACAACAGTGATGGCAACATCGTCTACGTTGTATCCTTGTGTTTCACGATATGGTACAGCATAGAGTTGCTGTTAAAGCTTCTATCTCATAGGCAGTATTTCTTTTGTGGCCCGGATGTCGGATGGAATATGTTTGATCTGTGTTTGGTTACTTTCGCAATATTGGACCATCTTCCTGCTTCTATTGGAGACGATGTCACGTTTTTACGCTCTCTTCGAACTTTAAGGATTGCCCGGACGTTGCGGATTTTACGAATGGTGAGATTCTTAAAGGAATTGCGTTTGTTGATGAAGTGCATCTTGTCATCGTTCTTGTCGTCATTTTGGTGTATCGCGTTCATGGTATTTGTCATGTACATGTTCGCCCTTTATCAGAAGGGTTTCGCCCCCTGCCGCTGGCCCCTCTTCTCATTACTTGCATGGCTTTTGTCGATTTCGTTAGTTGGTAGATTGTTTGATTGGTCCGCAGGCTGGCGACCCCGCTGGTGGGCTGGCTGTCAGGATGGAGGGTTGGCTACGTGCTTGGCCGAAGGGCTGGTTGGCAGGTTCGTGGACTGCCTGGGGTGCATGGTGGGCGGATTCGGAAAGCGCACGTGCTTGTGTTCCAACCATCTTGTGTGAGTTGGGTCCTGGCTTGGATCCGCAGCGTCGCACTCCGCCTTCTCACCTCCTCCCCGCACCTCCTGCCTCTGCCCTCCGCGTGCTCACTTCGGCACGCCCACCCCACGATCCGTGGCCCCACGGGGAGCTCCACCGAGGGCCTCGGCGGCAAGGTGTTGCACGCACTCCCCCCGCACCCTTGCACGTTTCTTCGGTACCCTCGCACGCCTTCGCGCCCATTTCGGTACCCCTGCACGCCTCTTCGGTAGCAAATCACAGGAGCCTGGTACACCAGATTCCGTCTTCAGCGTCGAGAAGCGTTTGCGAGTCGATGGGATAGCGCCGATTTAGCGGCGGTGAGCGTCGATGCAGCGTCGATCAGCGTCGATTTAGCGTCGACTGGCGTCGAAGGCTCCCATGAGTTGCCACCGAACGTTTCGTGGCCCCACATGGAGGCTCACCGAACGCCCTAAGTGGCAGAGCACATTGCACACGGTCCCCCGCCGTGGCCCCACGGAGCTCCAGCAAAGGCTTCGGTGGCAGGGCATCGCATGTTGCCCCCCCACACACACACGCTTCACGGCCCTCCTGCTCCTGCTCCTCCTCCTCCTCCTCCAACTCCTCCTCCTCCTCCTCCTGCTCCTCTTGCTTTTCCTCCTCCTCCTCCTGCTCCTCTTGCTCCTGCTGCTTCTCCTGCTTCTCCTCCTCCTGCTCCTCCTGCTCCTCCTCCCCGCTAATTCTGACGCATTCCTGCTCCTCATCCTCCTCCCCAGCAAATTCCCGCATGCTGCCCCACCACGACGACGTTGACGACGACGACGACGACGACGACGACGACGACGACGATGACCACTGGCAGATTCTGACACACGCCTCACACGCTTCATGGCCCCGCAGGTAGTTCCACCGGAGGCCTCAGTGGCAAGGTGTTGCCTGCGGTCCCTCCCCGCCCGTGTCGGCACACCGCCCGTCCACATGATTCGTGGGCCCGCAGAGCGCTCCACCGAAGGCCTCTGCCAAGGCATCGCAGGCCTCTTGGTCCCCAAGAGGGGCTTACGTCGAAGAAGAAGAAGAAGAAGAAGGGAAAACGCCACAAACATAAATGTTTGGCGCTTCGCGCGGATTTCCCGGATCCGTGTTGGGCCCCCCCGGCGGCGCCTCCGGCGCCGCCAGGGAGGGGGTCCGGCACAGATCCAAGAAATCATCGCGGAGCGACAACAGTTTATGTTTACAGCGTTTTTTCTTCTTCTACCAAGAAAGGCTTACGATGGCTCTGGAGGACCCCAACAGAGTCCAAATAGGGCCTCAGGGTGCATTGATGAAGGCTTAACAACAGCAGCTTCGCGTGAGACTCCCCCCCGCCCCCGAAATGAAGGAGTTGGGTGTTTCTCAGCGGGGGCTTCATGGCTCACGAGGCCTCCAAGAGGGGCCCCCAGAAAACTCAAATTGGTTCCAGGGAAACTCCCATCTGGTCCGAGACACCATGACGGGATTCCGAATACGGCAGGTTGTATGAGACATCTTGCTAAAATAGGTGTCGCACGTGTTAGCGTGTCAGTCATGCCTCAGGTCTAAGATGGCGCAAGAGGGCTCCAAAAAAACCAAAGCAGAGGTGCATAGGCCCAAAAGATCTGAGAAGTTTATTCAGGTGGCTCGCCTCCTGAACCCCAAGGGTCAGCCTAGTTGGTCGAGGAGGGCTCCAAGAGAGCAGCACCAGTCCAGAAGTTGCTGTCGGGCACACAGGTTGCACTGGTTTCTTTTCCCGTGTTGAATGTAGCATCTCAGAAGTTGCACTGATTTGTTCTCCTCAACAACAGAGTGCATGTGGGACACACATGTTGCATGGACATGTGACCTTCCAATGAACACCTCGGAATCACATGGGTTGCACGAGCTTCCCTCCATCAAAAAACCGTTCCGGGACACAGGTTGCACTGGCGCGCCTTCCCTCCAAAACACACTGGGGGGCACAAAGGTTGCACGGGTTCTCCAAGCCAGCAATTTTGCGTGGGCCATCTTGCCGAAACGAAGAGCGTGAGGAGCTGTCATCTCGAGCACGCCTCCTTGGCTCCACGAGGAGTATGAGATGGCTCAGGAGGGTTCGGAGGGAGAGACAAGGCACAGGGTCCGGCTTGAATAAGAAAAACTTACTTTTCCAAAGGGGCTCGGCCGTGCCTTTGGTTTGCATGCGTTCCGCTACCTTTGTGACGGCGAGCCCCCCGGGTGTTCTTTCGGACTTCCCAGACTCACTTGGCAAAGAGGGGTTTCGTTCCTTATGTATCGTTCCTTGGGTCAGGCCGAACACTGTACACCCCCTGGACAAGTACTCCGGATTTCGCAATTTCGTAATAAAGGGAGGGGGGTCTCATTTCGGGGGGGGTCTCTTCCAGGCTATCTTGGAGGGCCTGGGGGGTGTCCGGGGACGATGTTTTGGAGGGTCATCCCACGGGGGAGGTCTGAAATGGCTCGTCTTGGAGGGTCCAGACCCCCTCCCTTTGATTACGAAATCTGGAGTATATATTTTTCCCGATGTCCTGGGGAGGCAACGAGAAATGCATACACCAGGGCCCCGTATACACCAGGATCCTCTCCCCAATGCAAATTTCAATGCGGGGCCGGAAAGTGCGTCGGTGCATAGAGCTCGATCCCCCACATCCATAAATCGGCGGCGAGCGATGGGGGGGAAGCGAGAAGGAGAAGGCCTTCTCAGAAGGCGGCGGGACTCCTCAGAAGCCCCCGCGCCTCCTCTGAGGTCTGCAGGTCTTCCCCGAAGCATCGCCGGGAGACTTCCCCGGGGGCAACTCTCTTCGCCCCCCGGGTGCGCTCCGGGCGGCCCCTGCAGGCAGGATCCCAGGGGGGGGGATCCCATAGGGTCCCTTGGGGATCCCACGGGGGGGCAGGAGGGGATCCCACGGGGGGGATCCCCGCCTGCCCCCCCATGGTCTTCCCCGAAGAATCGCCCGGAGCCTTCCCCGGGGGGCAGCTCCCTCTTCGTCCCCCGGGTGCGCTTCTTCGGGCGGCCCGGCAGGGGCCCGACGACGGCCCCCCCCCGGAGGCCAAGGAGCACCGCGAGACCACCGGAGGGCCACGACGAGAAGCAGGTCGATCGTTGAGAGCAACGACAAGAGGGCAACGACAAGAAGCAGATCGAGGGCAACGACAAGAGGGCAACGAGAAGAAGCAGATCGAGGGCAGCGACAAGAGGGCAACGACAAGAAGCAGATCGAGGGCAGCGACAAGAGGGCAACGACAAGAAGCAGATCGAGGGCAGCGACAAGAGGGCAACGACAAGGACGACAAGAAGCAAGAGGGCAACGACAGCGTTCTTTCTGTTCTTCTCTCTTTTGCCGATCGGCGCGGGCCCTCGCGCCCCCCCCCCCCCCCCCGCCCCCCCCCCCCCCTGGAGTGGATCTTATAGGGCGACGATATCTATACATTCCACTGCTCCCGGCCAGGCCAATCCTGGGCCCACGAGCGGTGTATGCGCCCTCCTGGCTTGGCCAGGGAGGCATATACACAGCTCCTGGGCCCAGGATGGGCCTGGCCAGGAGCAGTGGATATGCATACATCTAGTCGCCCGAATCTTAGCTGTTTGGGCGCCCGTGTTTCGAGCAGGTGGAGTCTCCCCTCACAGGACCCCGCGCTGCAGACAGTCGCACAAACCCGAGGTCTGGAGCCAGACCCCCCCCCCCCCCCCCTTCCGCTCAATGTTGAAACGCCGAGTAACAAAACGCTCACAAGCTGCATCACTCCCCCAGGGCAGTGCCGAGCCAGGTCAGAACAGCCAGGCGGCCCGAAACACCCAGGCGGGTCTGCACGGCCACGGGTCTGCTGTGGCCAAGCGGGTCGGCACGACGGCGCGCCCGCGCAACTCGCGCATCTTCGAATGGAATTCGAAGGACAATCCTGGCATCGCTCGGACGTATGCGTTTTTTCTCAGCGGGGGCCACCGAGGAGCATCTTCGATCATCGAGCACACAAATACAGGCGCGGCATCAAACATTCACGTGGGATGGACGTCCGAGCGATGGCAAGCAATGAGGAGCGAGGGGGAGGATGAGGAGGAGGAGGCGGAGGAGAATCGACGACGAGGAGGAAGAGGGCGAAAAATGCGGAGGGGGATGGGGAGGGGCGAGGAGGGAAGACGAGTAGTGAGGAAGAGCAGGGAGGAGGCGGAGTGAAGAGGAGGACTTGGGCATCGATCGGACGTGTTCATTTTCTTTTCGGCGAGGACCATCGTGGAGCATCCTGGATCATCGGGCAACAAAAAAAACACGATACCGAAAAACGTCCGAGCGATGGCGAGAGGAGGAGGAGGAAGAGGAGGGGGAGGTGGGAAAGGATAAGGAGCGTGGGAATCAGGTCAGGAATCAGCGGCACGCAGCAACAAGCAGAAGCGCGCGGCACCAGGCAGCCGCGAACGACGACAAGCGCCAGCATCAGCAACAGGGCGCTCGAGTAGCAGCGCTTCCAGTCGTGTCCGGACATTGTTGTCGGCAACCACAGGGTATTCACCCTTTTCCATCATTTGAGGAAGCGTGGTGAGGCGTTTTTTGGGGAGCGAATGGTACCGCGAGAGTTTTCCCAGAAATTTCGAACCCGACCTCCTGGGCAGTTCTGTGCTCTGAGAAATGGGTGGTTAGAAAATAAATATTGCCAGCTTGCTGAGCTCCTGAGAATACTGCAACGTTGCGAACTGCCTCCTTGCATTGCTGAAAACTAAGTTGCTCAGTTGCTGAAGCCTACGCTTCGCAGCGTGGTGGCCCCCGCGGATGGGCTGGCGGACTACGTCCATTCAGTGGCCCGCTATTTGACAAAACGCGAAAATTCTGGAAATTTCGGTGTCGTCGAAGAGAAAGTGCAAGCGGCGTTCGGTTCCGTGACGAGGGCCGGCTTTTCGCTGCTGTTGGCCACCACTGGCGGCGAAGATTGGGGAACGATTTATGACATCATCTCTCCGATCGGACTTTCAGAAAGGGTAGCGTTCGTATTCTACATTCTGTTCTTCTGGATATCGATGTGGAATATCCAGCTGCCTGCGGCAAACCCCGCCACCGTGCCAGAGCAGCAGAGCAGCGCGAAGGAAGTCGAGCCAAAGACGCATATGGGAGCTTCTTTGGGGCATCTTGAGGGCCTCCTT